ATTAGAGGACTTCTTATTGAAGTTTGTTGATATTGTTTAAAATTATGACCGTAATAATTATCATCACTATCGACAATGTTATGAATAGAGTACAGTAGCGACTGTTACTAACATTATCATTAATGAATTATTTGACTTTAGATCACTGTTGCAAAAATATGCGTTCTATATATTGAATGGTCCATGGGGGCGATTGTGGTGTCGCTTTGGTTATGATCCACGAGTTGATCCAAAGGTTTGGCATCGATTCTTGATTTGCTTATTTATTGGTCATTTGTTGTATAATCTTCTCCATTGTTTTGTTTCTATCATTCAGTGATTATCTGACAAAAATGCCATGCCCGTCTCCCAAGAAACTGCCTTCTGATGTACCTTATACATTTTTTTGACACATTGTGTCCTCAGTCTGTTATGTGTCATTAAGAACTTTTCTAGCTTAGAAGCACTTGTTGAAGGTTTCTGACTGGTGATCCTTTAAAGCTGAAGTGAACTTGGATGAGGGAAACAAATTTTATGATTACATGGAATGAATATGCATAGAAATGAAAAGTTTTTGATTCCTTTTTGAATCAGTTGAGACTAATCTCGCATTAAATGAGTTTATCATATGAAATCACTTTCGCATGCAAACTGGTGATGATAACTGTAATTGATTGTTCAGGCCAAAATGTATCAATCCGTAATGGTTTCATTTCGGCAGCATTCGAAAATCCCTGAGCGACAACGTCTCAAAGTTGTTAAGGTTATCGATTAGTAAATTACGTTTTTTGGTTGAATTACGTTATTTCCAGTGTCTCAAACACTCACCAAATTTCATTTTCAAATCGCAGTTGGTTTATTCCACTTCGAAATTATTCGCAATTGTCAACGAAGAATCTCTTCACATTTCGATATGTTTTCTGATTCATTCTATTGTCGGTCATTGCACCGCGTAAAATTTACCAATGATATTGTTGTATGNTCAATTCACTGTATGGACAAACTGGCATTGAATCCATTGACTACTGTTATTCACCAGGTTATTTGTTCTTTATTTGTGCTAGCTGTGTCTTATTTTGCGATTGTCATTTGAAAAAAACAAGAAAAAACTTCGCAGAAATCTTCAAGTGGATTAATTCTCGACATATTTTAAAGCTTATTTTTGTTGGTCCTTCGAACTTAATGATGAAAAATGTCCATTCGAATAGCCCAGCAGCGCGTTGTTTGTTGCTCGTTTGAAACGCGATCTTGTTTTCTCATTAGATGGTGCAAGGATGTTTTTAGCCGACTGACTGGAATTGATGGAATCGGATGTTATGAATGTCGATTCTTTAAAATTCATTAAAAGTTTCAAGTATAGGTCAGTTGCCGCGTGTACGGCAAATGTGGTATTGTGTGTGTGATGTGAAATTGCCGATCGCTGAGGAATACGCCAAGAAGGAATACTTTGCACAAGGCGATCGTGCGGATGATCAATATGGATGGCTACCACCGGTAACATTTTCGTTTACTTGAAACTCTTTTGGATGCGGACGAAATGAGAATGAAAGAGATGAGAAATGAGAATCGTTGAAAGATGACTAACAGTATTTTAAAGCAGTTCAACTTGCTTGTTAGTTCTTTCACCGAAAACAAGCAATCATCATAA